TGTCCGTAAATGTCGGGCCACAGTGGTCTCACGGAGTGGTGACAACATGTGTCTTTGGCGAGGAAGTAGACCGAGCCACCCGGCTGCGTGGGCATAGCGCGTGATAACACGTAGGTAAGTCAATGTGTCTCTTTCTGACCCATTTTTCTTGGTTCAGATCCTGTTCAAGTGTTTGTTGTTGACCAGGAGGTGAGGTGGTAGGCCTAGGTGCGGGTCCAGCGGCGCCAGCCACCTGAGCCCTCTCACGCCTTCGGTCTTCTTAACTATGTCTTGTCACCGGGCTCAGACAGGGGAGTAGGAGGGAGTGCGGTAGATGCTGTGCAAGTCCACCACCACCACTATAAACTAATTGACGCGCGAGTCACCGTGCTTGCTCTCGCTTTGCTGTGGAGCACACGGTGGACATCGTCAGCAACGACGGCCGAACTATCAAATCAATTTGCCTGTTGATCAAGTTGGTCTGACACCCAGGCCTCCAACAGTTATCGCCCCGTCTCGTTGCCGACTCGCGCCATTATACGCGTGTTTACAAAGTCGAACTCGTGGCCTTCCTTCAGTGTGTGCGTAGCGAGCTGAGACTGTGGGTCGCCTCTCCGAACGGCGCGTTTGTGTTCGAGCATTCGCGAGCCAAGGCGTCGCCCTGGTGAGCCTGCATGATGGCAAGGACAGCCTTCTCATGCAATTTTGGTAAACTACGGTATCTCAAGGATCAGTTGGCAAGAAACAGCCACCCGAAGAACTTCATCAACCGTTGCATTCGTAAGCTCTCACGACGAGCAAGCGAAAGAGGAACATCACCAATTTAGCACTCGCTCCCGTGCATGAAGAATTTGCCCGAAGCAACTGAACGTACTGCGGCAGAGTTATGCGTGGACATCACCTATCATCCGGTAGCTACTATACGCATCAGACTCATGCAGATAAGGGACCGGTTCAACGCAGGTGAGAGATCGGGCGTCTTTTATTAAATCCCGTGCCAGGGCTGTCCCTGCCATTATAAGGCCCACCAGAACGACGCCTTGGCTCGCGAATACTCGAACACAAACGCGTCGTTCAGAGAGGCAACCCACAGTCTCAGGTCACTACGCACGCACTGGAGGAAGGCCACGAGTCCGACTTTGTGAGCACGCGTATAATGGCGCGTGTCGGCACCGAGACGGGGCGATAAGTGTTGGAGGCTTGGGTGTTAGATCAGCTTAATCAAAAGGCATATTGATTTACCCACGTGTTATCACGCTCTACGCCCACGCAGACAGGTGGCGCAACCCACTCCATGTATGTGCATGTATTTAAAGGTTACGGGGATGGTGTAGGGGTGTCCAGTTGTGGGTCTACGTGATGGTCGTAGTAGGTCGCTCACTTGCTTGCAGGTGAAGACTACGCCTAGCATCCATTAACTGGAACTCAACTCTAACATGTGGCTTCCCGGTGCTAGGCTCTGCCTAGCGGACGCACCTACGTAACCGCCTCGACCAGCGGACCAAACCAGGTGAGGATATCCGTGTGTTCATCTTCGTACACGGTGCCCTAAACCAATTCTGAGATCACGTCCTCTGCACCTGACCGTGGCGCGCAGACGCAAAACACACGTTCGCAACAATCAAACAAGAACCAACACTCTCTCTTCCCCCTTTTCCTCACCGTCACCCCACCCCGCAGACTGGTAGGGTGAGTCCGCTCACTCTGGCGTGCTGGGATGTTCGTCTCCTTTTAGACAGTCCGAGGAGCAACCGATCGGAATGGAGGACGGCGCTAGTGCCTCGGGAACTGGCGCGCTACAAGGTGGACATCGAAAAAGGTCAACTGGAGGAGGTGGGTGCCGGCTACATCTTCTTCTGGAGCGGTCACCCCAGAGCAGAGCGACGGGACGCGGGCGTCGCCTTTGACATGCGGAATGATATTTTGGAACGACTGCTTTGTCTGCCGCAGGGTATCAACGATCGCCTGATGGGCCTCCGCCTGCCTCCCCATGAAGGCAAATTCACCACCATCCTCGGTGTCTACGCTCCCCGATGACCAATCCCGACGCCGCAAGGAACAAATTCTAGGAGGACCTGCACGCTCTCTTGGCGTCTGTGCAGGAGGCGGAAAAGTTGCTTGTCCTTGGTCACTTCAACGTCCGCGTCGGCACAAACCATGCTGTCTGGAGGGGAGTGCTGCGTCCCCACGGTCTCGACGGCTCCCACAACAATGGCCTGCTCCTCCTAGGAACCTGCGCAGAACACCGCCCCACCCTGACGAACAACTTCTTCTGCCTTCTGATGCGAGCGAAGGCCACATGGATGCACCCTCGGTCGCAACACTGACACTTGCTGGACTATATCCTCGTCCGGAGGCGGGACTAGTGGGACGTGCTGGTGACAAAGGCGATTCCGGATGCCGACAGGTGGACCGACCATCGCCTCGTCATCTCCAAGGTGACGATTCGCCTAAAGCCTCGCAGAAGACCTCAAGGTAAGTGACCTCCAGGTAAGTTGCATATTGCTTTGTTGTCATTGCTTTCTCACCATCTCCATTTCGGCAATGAAATAGCCCAAAGGTAAACCAATATTTCAGTTGCTGCCGCCGACGAGAACGCCTCCGTAGAGGACCGATGGTGCCAACCGCGAGACACAGTCCAGTCGACGGCCCTGGCTGTACTTGGTCGCGCATGTCGCCAACATCAGGACTGACTCGATGACAACGACACCGCCATCAGCGACCGGCTCGCCGAAAAGAACCGCTTGCACAAAGCCTACGTCAACCGTCCCATCGACGACAACAAAACAGCCTTCTACCGTAATCGTCGCCTTGTGCTGCAGCGGCTGCGCGAGATGCAGGACGCTTGGACGGCTCGCAAGGCCTAGGAGATCTAAGGGTACGCGGACCGCAACGAATGAAAGAATGTATTCACCATGATCAAGACTGTCTACGGTCCCACAGCCGAAGGAACTGCTCCTCTTCTCAGCGCCGACGGCAGTATCCTACTCACTGAGAAGACGCAAATACTGAAGAGATAGACCGAGCACTTTAGAGACGTCCTCAACCGTCCCTCCACCATTTCCGGCGTTCCCACCATCCGTCTGCCGCAAGTGGAGACCAACGCTTGCCTTGACCTCCCGTCCTCTTTCCACGAAACCATCAAGACTATGTGACGGCTCTCCAGCGGGAAAGCGTTTGGATCAAACGCGATCCCCGCTGAGATCTACAAGCACAGTGGCCCCCAACTCATGACTCAATGGCTCCTTCTTACCGTGGTTTCTGTGACATTCGTACTAAATCCGAGACGCCTTGTGTTAAGCGAGGGCCCAGTTCGTGCGGCAGGCCTAGCCTAGCTGTGTGGCTTTGTCGGCCACCGCGTTCACACCTCTCCTCAGTTGTCTTGATTTCGTATTGCCAATGGGACATGGCGATTGTTGGGAGGAAGTGTGAGGTAGTTTCATCAAAAGTCCGTCTCACTACTAACGGATTTACGTGCAAGACAGCACTGAGGCCCGTGCAAGTGTCGGGGTGATCCTCGTCGCCTTCGATGATCGAACTACTGCGTCGCTACCAGCAGCTGACGCTCCGCCCATTGGCAACCGGATACTTCACGCAAAACCTCATTCTGGTTGGCTTTGTGGTCTAAGGTGGTACTAACCTGGCTTTGTATGCTGAATTGTGGACCCATTTGATAGAATTTGGCGGCCCGTCTTTCGGTATTCTACATATTGCCGATATCATTTTCTTTCTGGATGCCTATCGAGGAAAAGAGCCTATCTAAGAACTAAATCTTAGTTTTCGAACAGTGTTCTTTGTTCTCCTTGACCTCTCCCCTCTTCATTTGACGCTTCGGAGTTGGTGAGATTTTCTACCTCGCAGCTTGTCGAGACGTTCAATTAAGTACACCCTAACGACGATCAGTAATGAGATATCCAGGTATTTTATTTCTTCCTTCTATATTTTAGGTGCTGCTGGGGTGTCCCCTCTCTCAGTGCATGGGAGAAACGTTTTCTAAAGTTTTAGTATACTTCTTTCAATTAGTCCCCCTAATCTTGTACTTATATGAATTTCTGACGCAGGCTTTGATTGTCCACACAAGTTTCGTCCTCGTAGAGAGCATACTTTTAGGTTGTCAATGTTTGCATGGTTGGTATGAAGTGGGCTGGTGGCGGAATATCCATATTAGCAGTCCTTTTGACGGCTGGTAGTTTTAATGCGTTTTTCACGTGATTAGGAACACTTCTTTCACTCATCTACACGCGAATCTTATTCAAACTCGAGTTTCATAACTAATTCAGGATACTAAAGTGGGGAGGAGGGAGAGAGGATACAGAGTGCGGATAGATTGATGCGCCACTGCTTCGAGCTAGTTGCGTCTTTGTTCAGTTCAGCACAACTCTTCCCATTCCTGGCTGAATGACAAACCTTTTTTTACGGGGCCTACGACAGAATTTTCGAATTCACCTAAAGTATGGAGCAAATGTCAGGATGACTCATCGTCCGTAAGCGTAGAAAACCTAGGGGAGCTGATGATGATGGCGCTGATGGTGGCGGTGTTGGTGGTGGTGGTGGCGGCGGCGGTGGTGGCGGCGGCGGCGGCGGTGGCGGCGGCGGTGGCGGCGGCGGTGGCGGCGGCGGCGATGATGATGATGATGATGACGACGACAACGACGATGGTAATAGTAGTAGTAGTAGTAGTAGTAGTAGTAGTAGTAGTAGTAGTAGTAGTAGTAGTAGTAGTAGAAGTAGTAGTAGTAGTAGTAGTAGTAGTAGTAGTAGTAGTAGTAGTAGTAGTAGTAGTAGTAGTAGTAGTAGTAGTAGTAGTAGTAGTAGTAGTAGTAGTAGTAGTAGTAGTAGTAGTAGTAGTAGTAGTAGTAGTAGTAGTAGTAGTAAAGGATTGGATTGGTACTTGGGGGTCTCATAATGAACCTTCACGGATAAAGGTGTTGGCCTCGAGAATTTGATTGTTAATGCTTTCAGATTGTAATCACTTCCAACTGACTAAAATCCAAAAGAAAATAGAAAGTACTGCGAGCTATAACGAAAGAAACCAAATCCGAGTGGTGTGGTTAGTGCGGAATCCTAAACTGTTCTGATTAAAGAAATGGAGTTGTCTCTACCGGGACTCCGGATCAGCGACACCCGAGGGTAGCGTTTTGACTTTGCATGAAGATGAATACTCCCTTTCTCTTATTTTTATGTCCTCCTGGTGTGAACCGGTCGCATACGCAAAAAATTTAATGTAACATAAATCAGCTCTTTGTCTGAAAGGGTACTTAATCCAAACACCTCATCTTAAGTCGAAAAAACCGTCTAGTTACCTCAGTACACAAAAGTTTTCTCCCAGGTTTTATGTGAAATCGCATTATTTTCACAGAGACGGAAAACAAGCGCAAAGGCCCCTATTGAGAAAAAAGGGTACCAGCTGGATATTCAGTTATGATCATTTATTGCACAGTATACAATAAGGCTGGGAAATAACGACCACTTACGAAAAGCCTCGTGATTACAAGAATATATTACTAGGGAAATTTTCAGTAATCTATATTAGTTAAGACAAAGCGGCGTTAGCCCATCACAAGTAGAGCACGCCACTTTTGGGGGAAACTATCGTAAGTACCAGATCTGTTGTGACTAGTGCGCCTTTTGATCCATTCGAGCGAATCATGTTGTGTTGACTGTGTATTTCTCTCGTCAGAACATATCTCCCGAATAGACTACGGGTTTTCGATCCAGTATTTTGTAAAAACGGCCGTACAGCACAAAGCAAAGCGTCTCCTGTTTTCCTCAGGACATTTGTTCATGGGCATAAAGGAAGAGTTGGGATTCCAAATGGGATTACTTTGGCCCCAAGGAGGCACGGCTTGACCTATCCCCCAGGCATTACTTCTATTTACTGCTTTGTCAGCGACCTTTGACTAACCCAAGATTTGGTTTTTTTACCCCAAATTGGAGTCTCCTGTACGATAATCTCACTCACAAACCGGTAATTCTATAAAGTGTTTAAAGAAAGATGGGATCGTAAAAATGAAACATTTGAGCCTCATGTACTGGATGAGTTTAGTCTGCTATGCCTCAACCAAACTTGACAAAACAACTAACTCTCGCCTGCAGACGAGGAAACGGGGGATTTCCGCTGCCGGAAAGAATTGCAAATGAGGCCTGTGTTGTCACTTGGGGCAGGTGCTCATCGTTCTAATCGGCTTGTAAAAATGGAACAGGCGTTTTTTTCCTGAGTCCCAACTCAGAAAATTTGCAGACTGCCGCGTAACGATAGGTCATTACTTCGGTGAAAATAGAAAGACAGTCAAGTTTGTAGTGACCATTTCTGACTTTTTGTCCTTCTCGGCTGGTTATACCACAATCCTGAACCAACAGGACCCAGGATTTGAAAGCAGGTTCAATGGGTTGTTGAGGCAAATGTTCTGCCTGTTTAGTCATGGGCCGCATGCTTTATCAGCTGCCATCCAGTCTGCTCACTGCTGCGTGAGGATTGTGCACATGACTTGACCTAATTGCAGGTCAGCGTGGGCATCTTCCGTTTTAGCATGGAACTAGAATCTCGAGGCCTCGCAGGCGCTTGCACCGTGATAACGAATAAATGAGATAATTTACTGACAAAGAGAAGGAAGAATGCAATTAGCATCTGGAATTCATTTACCGTCTTCGGTCATCCATGTCCTGTGCGTGACTAGCAGCGCCCAAGAGGCAAAAGCTCTGAAAATGACAAAAATGAGAAGGGAGGAGAGTTTTTAATTACTAATATGTCAACTTGGAGCGCTACGCGCTTTGAACTCTTCTCCTCTCTAGACCCCTATTGCAAATAGTTAATTGAACATTAACTTGTGCTACTGCGCAGTCTTATGACTGTCAGGCCTCGGGTTTGAGATGTATCTCGTGGGTTGCTTCGTACGTACTGGCGCGTGGCTCTTTAATGTCTACACTGTCGCCCTGTCTATTCAAAAGTCTGGTCTCTGACAAGCTGTGGAGTTTGTCCTGCTATCTGACTGATTGCGGACCGAAGAACTACACGCCAGGCATCTCGTGGCTCAGACGGTGTTTGTTCCTTGTGAGGATTTCAGCCTCGGTCTCAGTCGTCAGTGTTTGGTTATCCTCTCATGTCTGTGTGATGTGTATAGCTTGCCGGCAGTTTCCTAGAATTTCTTGTATTACTTGAGCACTTGCCATAAATTCAGCCTCTTGTCTGCTGCCTTCATCTTATTTTTGCCGCAATCAGGATATGAAGAGTTGTTTGCTCTGACAAATTCCAGAGAATGTTGTGTCTGTAGGGGTTAATTTTTCGGCCCCCTACAATTTTGCTGGTGGAACGTATCGACGTAATTGTTATGCGACTTCGTTTCCATAAACTAAAGCATAGTTGAAAAGTCAATTTGCAAACATGTGTTTTCGGTAACTCGTCATCAGGCCAAAATAGTCACATAGAAGCTGAAAATATGCGAAGTTCACAGTTTATAGTTTATAGAATGCCAAGCTACAGACTTTCGGTGCTTATATCTCACTGAGATGTATAAGAAGCTATTTCGGGTTTTAAAGGGGATGCAATCACGAGAAGCTCTGGGGTGCTATATAACTATTTGTGTAGTCCGCAAATTTCGAGTGTAATAATCCTGCTCGAGAATTATGCAATGTGATTTATACACGAAACAGCATTTTGGAGCACTAGGAGACATATATTTGAATACAATAAGAGTTAGAAAAGTTTACTTAATATAACCTACCTAGTATGCAATATGGAGATCTTGAGGACAGGGGAAAACGCATGTTGTGTTTTAAACTATACAGGTGTCAGTAAAAATGAAAAACTAATTTCCTTGATGAGCAAAATCTGTAGTATTCATAATAAACTCGAACACGCATTTTAATGCTACTTCTGAAAAGTGTATTCGAGTTAATTCGGATGGCAAAAACGGATGCAAAAATTTAAGATACATGCGGGAACAAAAGACGTCACGAACCAAAAATTTGGTCATTATTCTCAAAGTGTTTACATCATTGTTCGAAATTTCACGACTAACTTTGGGACATGTTCGAAGAGACTTCACTTTCTTTAACACTGTTTCGAAATGCTTAGCATCACATAATTACGACCTACCATTGGAGTCGGACATTTTCAGAAGTGTACTTTACTAAAGTAACTAGAAAATGTCCAGTCCAAAGTCAGCATGCTGGCGTATAGGCCTTTACTAAGTGTAATTTTCCCTATTTCTCAGTTTTTCAACCCCAATTAAGCGATCTTTCCGCTTTTTAATGGTCTTCGGAAATTCTTGGTCGGTTTTTCACGAGTTCCGGCGCGCACTATCCTCCTTTCTTTGTTCTTCAGCAGGAGGCTGGAGTGGAGGCGCAGGAGGTCCAAGGGCTAGGCAAAAAACAATTTTCACGCTTAATTCGCCACTCGGGGAGCCTTAGCTCTATTGTCCCCTGCGGTGGTCACAGTGGCATACTAGAACAGACTCACCATCTGCCGCCTTGCCGCTGGGCACCTTCAAAGGCTCCGATTACCCGTAAGGGGGGGGGGGGGGGGGGGGGGGGGGGGGTGGAAGCGGTGTTGGACACTCGAACTCGCGATGAGTGGAGCAGGACGTGTGTACGTGGCAGTGGCAACAACGCCGGTAACGGGCGCCTTTTAACACCTCACTGAGGGATACCCTCTAATTCCCCATAGTTCTGCCTCTCAATGTCTCGACGCCACCTCCAGCAGACCCCACGTCAGATCCCGTGAACGCCTCCTCTTCTTCTTTTGCTACGGCTGCTCTCAAAACCGACCATTAGCACTTAGCACGCACTAATTTCAACTGCTGGGTCTGTATTGGTGTTAATTTAATGAAGGAGAGCACTGTCGTTGTCTCACGTACAGCTGACAAATAAACAGGCGCACGATGTTGACAGCTTTATGTGTGATAATGGCTACTTACGTTGACGTTACCTTCTCCCTCCTGCACCTTCTGTACC